ATTGCTGACTCATATTCAGTTTGTAATCAACTATTTCAACTGTCTTTTTTGCAAGAATTTATTTTATTTTATTGGATGTAGAGGCTGCCCGACTTCCAAAGACTGTGAGTGGCTTGCATTTCCAAAATAGGAAACGAAAGAAGATATGCACATCCAAAACAGATCAACCAAAAACTAATAGAGGATTGACAGTTATCCTAACTCCAGATAGGGAGCAAATCCAGATATTCAAAGACTTGTAGAAAGCAGTGGGGTGGGAGCAAACAGATCTGTGGAGACACAGTTCCACAGTGCAACTGTCATGAAAAGGTGTGTTCCCTAAGTCAGGCATGTCAAACTGCTGGCCCATGGGCTGGATGCGTCACGCCAAAACCACGCCCACCCCATTGCGGGCGATGGGGAAAAAGTTGCGATATGTCATGCGACGTCACATAACATCGCGAGTTTGAAATGCCTGCCCTAAGTCATGTAGACATTTTTTTAATTGGTGGAATCTGGAGTGTGATTACTCTGTCTGATCTTACTGGGCAGGCAGAAATTACTGAAGCTAGGTGGACCCTCAGAGAACCTAGCTTATTCCATGAAAGTCTTTACAGGTGATAACCAGCACCTAAAATTGCACTTGGAAATAATTAGCAATAAGTACAGCTCACAAAGCAACAGTGATACATCTGCTCATCATTGGCTATGTTGCTGTATTCTGGGCCAGCTGTAGCTTCTGAGCAATCTTCAAGGGCAACCTCATTTTGAAAGAATTGTAGTAATCTAACTAAGAGATGACTGAAGCATGAGTAACTATTACTATTCCAGATTTCCAAATCCAACCTATGGATCTGATTTTTGTTTTGTTTCCTAAGTGAAAGTAAAAGACTAGGCCAGTGATGGTGAACCTTTTAGAGACCGAGTGCCCAAACTGCAACCCAAAACCCATTTATGCATCGTTGGATGCTGAGTGGGTGTGGCCCATTGGCTGGTGTGGCCAATTGGGTGGACGTGGCTGCGGTGGTAACAGCAGACTGGGTGGGACTAAAAAGTTCAATCAATCAATCCCAACTTTGCAAGATGTTTTTTTTCCGTGAGAAGTTGCAATTGTGATTGATTGAACCTTTTTTGCACACAGCGGCGGAGGCCTAAAGCGAAAAGGTTTTATAAAACCCAGATGAAGACCTAGGACTGGGGTGACGGCGTGTGTGCCCACAGAGAGTGCTCTGAGTGCCGCCTCTGGCACCCGTGCCATAGGTTCGCCACCACTGGACTAGGCTGTGCTGTCATCTGTTAAATTTAATGTTTCAGTACATTTCTCAAGTCATTGATACCACTCATCTGGGGAGCATCAATGTTGGAAAAGATTGTTCTACTGGCTTGGTTCATGAAACAATTAAGCCATGGATTGTTGAAAAAAAGCTTATCGCTTAGATGTACACAACAAAAATACCTAGTTAAACTAGCTCTAGCCATTCAGCTATGCTGGGAAAATACCAAAATCCATTGACCTATTTTGAATATCAAGAAAAAAGATTTGGACTGAAAAAGTCCCCGCCAAACCCCCAGGTCTATTCATTAAGAATTCACTGCCAAAGTCTTGCAGCTCAGAATATATTTTTTAATAATGATTGGCTGCAGCAGTCAAATTATGTTTAGTGCTGAATTCCTAACAATGGGAAGGAGCTAGTTATCATTTTGGATTTACGGAAACCAAAGTTTAAGATTAATGTTTGAACTCTTCAGATTTTGGATTCCCTACACTCAAATGATGATTGTTCCAGATTTTGACTTCACTGTTCCACAGAAAGCCAATTTGGTGTGGTGGTTAAGGCATCAGCCTAGAAACTGAGTTGTAATTCCGCCTTAGGCACAAAGCCAACTAGTAATCTTGGGCTAGTCACTTTCAATCCTAGGAAGGAGGTGATGGCAAACCACTTCTGAAAAATCTTGCCAAGAAAGCTGCAGGGACTTGTCTAGGCAGTCTCTGAGAATCGGACATGATTGAATTAAAGGAAAAAAAGCTCTAGATATGGATATACTTCTAAAGTATAATTTTGACATTAGAAAAGCAATAAACATGTGGATTGGCAGTATTTTGTATAATATGGACAGTGCAAGGGGTATGGTGGAGTAACACAACATATTAAGCCATAATATGATCTTTTAATTTTGATGAAATATATTGTCTGAATCCAATCTTACAATAAGTCCCATTATATAAGTTTGGGGATAATGCAGTAACCATGATTAACTGAGCCATAATTTACTGAATTACCCTAATTTCTTCTTTACACCTGTAAAGGTACACTAAAACAGTGCCAATTCTACCATTCAATAGAATTGCTTCTTAAGTATGTAAAGCTATACAGTGTGGAGAACAAAACCTTTATGCCACTTTGAAATCTGCTAAGAGGTAATACTGACTGAAAGTAATGGGAGCTGCTTCATGTGGAGAGCACCAATTTTGGAGACTATCTTGAGCCAAGATTCCTTAGTAAAAGACATGATATATATCTTTAGCTAAGTTAACCAACTCTTAAGAGTAATTTTATTATCAAAGGGGATTAATGGAGTCTAAGGATCTGGGGTTGAGGGCAGCCATAGTTTCCTTAATTCAGTGAATTTCAAAATTTAAACCTGAAACAGTTTAATTTTGTTGAAACTATTCTATCTCATAGAAATATTTTGAAGATAAAAGAATGGGAGTTGGTATACTACTTTGAGATTTGGAGGAAATGCAGGTTAAACATGTAATTTCAGTAATATTAAACTCTGATGTAAAACAACTTCACATAGCCATAGAACTATTTAAACTACAGTATTGCCATGAATAAAAAAGTGTAGAGAGAATGGGAAAGAGAGGTTAATATTTATTGCCTGTTAGATGTTTCAAAAGCAAAAGTGGAAAACCTTTGAAATGTAAACCACTACATTTGAATTTTGAGAGCACTGATAAATTTTGCTATGAACTTGAAAAGTTCAAGTGCCACATACCCTTTGTTTAGCTTTAAACATGCAACAATAAAGGTTGGTTTATTTAAATTCACATACATGTGTAGAAATAGTTGTGATCTTGAACACAGCACTCTTTGGAATTGTCCTTGAGCAGATGCTACAGAGGGACTGAACAGATATGCTTCACTCCTTATCAGCAAGAAACGCTGACACAGTTTGAACAGCTTCTCAATGACATTTCCTTTCAAATGTTCTGTACCAACAGCTGCAGGGAGCATCTGCCTGCACGTTCCAAGCATCCCCATTTCCCTTTGCAATGTGCCATGAAATCTCAAATTTACTAACCAGAAAGCAGTAAACAAAAGAGGCAGATAGATGGAAAGCTGCAATCCTGTGCCTAGTTCTGAAATTATGTCTCTTGAACACAGTAGATAGGGTACCACTGTTACTAATGTGAAAAACACTGCAGAATAGTACTTGTTTTAGATTCTTAGTATACTTTTTTATTCCAACATGTACAGTTTTCTGCTTCCAGAATAGTCACATTAATTCACATAGAGATGCAGAGAAAAGGAACAATGACCACTAGTTCAAATAACTAAAAATGGTGGGGGGGGGGGAAGCCAACTACCCACTTCTAGGAAATGCTTCTGTATTCTCATTAAGTCCATTTTTTAACATAAATTGCTTAGGGGAAACAAAAAAGATTTGCTATTTTCATCTTCTTTTGGAGGCTACATGGACCTCTAGCCTGATTTGACAATTGCTTGCATTTCCAGGTTCAGTTTGATGGAAATTCCATGTTCAGATGCAGTCCACCTCTAGGGAGGGCAGTTTAATGGAAAAATTAAAAAATTAAAAAAAAAAAAATTACAAGCCCACCTTGTCTCCAAGAAATGTTTTGCTCTTCCCAAGCTCAACATTTATCCTCACAAGTCTTGTGAGGTAATTTAATTGGTATTTTCCCTCCAAATGTATGCATTATCTAGACTTTTCTGAGAATGTCCCCAGCAGCTGCCAGCAAATATGAAGAATTATTTGGTATTTTAACCTCAAAAGTCGAAAGCAGATTTCCATCGGAAATAAGACTTGCATCATGACTTCACTAGTGTTGTTTTTGTTCTCCTTTAGGTATTTGTAAATACGTGTAATATATGGTGGGTCATCTTCCCGGGCCAAAGAAAGGGACTCAATTGTCCTTATGTCCCTGCTACCCCTCAGAATAAACACCGAACTGCGACAGCATTAATTATGGTGTATTATTATCTCTGTGGCGGCGCGGGGGAAGCCTCACAGCAACAGGGCAATTTTGAGACAAGACCCAGCCAAAGAAGCCCAAAACACGAAACCTCTCCATCTGGAAAAGCAGCCGCTTTCATTCAGAGGTAGATTGTGCTTAATTTTAAGGCAGGGAGTCAAATCTTTCCAGGCTTGCCTTGCCATCTTTTCCATGTCTCCCCCACCCCACCTCCCGTTTCTACGTGTGAACTTAGTCTGCATTGCGTGTGTCTACTATTTATAAGTCAAATACGTACCTGAGGAAAATCTGACGTGCGCGTCGTGAGTTCCCGCGCGAGTAGGATTGCCCGAGGAATCGCTCTGTCTGTCTGTGTGTCTGTGTGTGTGTGTGTGTGTGTGTGTGTGTGTGTGTGTGTGTGTGTGTGTGTGTGTTTTTTTTTTGAAAACACGACTGTAACGATTATGGGGCTCACTGAGATTTCGGCGTGACTATTACCATTTTCTTCGTGCGCTTCGTGCGTTGGGGGGAGAGCTTCGTGAGGAGGCGGCGATCGCGCACCGAGACAGTGGGGGGGGGGGCTTGGGCGCTCGAGGAGGCGGAGGAAGCGTGAGCGAGCGCCCGCCGCAGCCGGGGCCTCCTCTTGAGGGCAAGTGAGGACAAGGAGGCGCACGCGCTCTGGCCAAGGCGGACAGATCCGGTCCCGCTTTTTTTTTAAAAAAAATCACTCCGAGACTCGCGCTCTTTTTTAATTCACCGAACCTCCTTCTTAGTATATATAGGGGAAAAAAAGGCTGGATGGGGGAGAGCGAGCGTGTCTGCGTGTGGGGGGGAAGGGGGTACAGTAAACGAGCTAGAACGGAGGCGGGCGTTCTTCCTTTTATGTTGGAGGCCGCGCGTCCCTCCTCTCCCCCTTCACCTAGGCTTCTCTTTCGAATAATTCACTTACATCTGGGGCTTGCGTGCGTGCGTGCGTGCGTACCCTTAAGGAGCCCAAGCGCGTGCGCGCCAATCTGTTATTTTCCCTCCCCTCCGCCCCTCGTTGCGCGCGACGCTGCCTTCCCCCTGCTTCTCTACGCGAAGCTATAATTTTCCTTAACAGCGGTGGAGTGAAGGACATAAGATGAGCAATAAAAGCTGTACTGATACATTTTGGGTTGGCGTTCTCCGCCCGCGCGGAGTTTGTTTTTTTTAATTGCCCTCCCTCTCCCTTCTCGCTGTTACCGTCATCGCCCTCATCATTACCACCACCTCCACTGGGCGGCCCCTGCCTTTGACGCCGGCGGGGGCGGCCCAAAATGGCGGCGGCGCTGCTGCTGCTGCTATTGCTGACGAAAAGCCCGGCCCGGCGCGAGCGACAATAGAGAAGAGAGAGCGCGTGAAGGGAAGGAGCGGCCAGTCGCTCGCGGGCTGGTCCTCCGCCGCCGCCGCCGCCGGTTCCCTCTCCGCCGCCCGCTGGTCTAGCATGGTGCGGGTCCGCCGCCACTTGATCCCTTTGGCCGCCCCGAGCTGACCTATCCTCTCACTGAGACTCTCCTCTGCTCGCTCTCTTCCGCCGCCAGCATGGGCGAGAGGTTGGAGCTCAGGCTTAAGTCGCCAGTGGGAGCGGAGCCGGCCGTCTACCCCTGGCCCCTGCCTGTTTATGTGAGTGTGCCTGGAGAGAGTCGTCCTTGGGCGCCCCGGTGGGGAGGAGATGAAGGAGATCGGGGTGTCACGGGAATGGGGGTCTTCCGAAGGACCAGGGAGTCCCAGGAGGGTTACTTTTATGGGCACGGTAGGAAATGAGAAGTACCTTTTTGAGAGGCGAGGAGCCCTGCGGGAATAATTCTAGCAAAGTAAAAAAGGAATTTGGAGGAGAAAATTAACCTGGGGGGGGGGGGATGCAAAGGAAAATCAGGGTACAGTTATTCGGTGTCATGGATGGCACGTCTGCTGGGAGTTATTAGAAATAGGGATAAAAGTTTGGGAAAGGTAAAGAGTGGGAATCTCAAGGTTTTTTGTATGAGAGAACTGGAAGCTGAAGTGAAATCAGCTATAAGATAGCCTCATGGAAAGAACAAGAATGTTCTGTGGAGGGAGAGCGAAATAATGTGCTGTCATTGTAGTGAAGTACATTATAAAACTGAGTTGGGGAGGATTGACAGGCAGCTGTTTGGCGTCACTTCAGCAGGTTTTCATTTAAGATTATATGGAGGGAACCGAGCTAGTGAGAATTACCTTTGAATTCCTGCTAAACAGAAAATGAAAAGGGTATTTTTGTGTTGGGGAAATTTAGTAACATTTATTATAGAGTACATTATTGTGCAAGGACCCTTTGGTTGGGTGCATTGTGGGGCTATTATGTAAGGCATAGGAAATGGGGGAGATCTGATTGCATTGTGATAGAAAAATTGAGAGGTGCTAGCACCCTTGTTCCCTCCCTTCTAGTTCCTTTTCTTTCTGACGAAGGAGAAAATTATAAAACTTCACCTTTAATATTTTGTCTTCATCTATCTACTCTACACCATCTTTTCTCATCCTCCTAGACTTTTTTGTCCCAGGCACTCGTCCTGGGTTGACCTCCTTATAACCTAAGTTCTCAACTGTCTTCTAAACCAGATATATTTGGAGTTGTCCTTGAGTTATATTGCTGCCAATTTTCTTCATGCTAGTACAGTATGTTTCTGAAAATGTGCTGTTTTTTTTTCTGCTTTCCTTTTTCAGGCTTTAGGTTTTCCTTTTGATTGATTACCTTAATAAAAACTTCCTTTCTTAACACATTTACAATGGTTTTTATAATTTGCTATCACAATATGTATGTAACAGCTTCTAATGTACATATTTTTACTAGGAAATTAGACAAATTAATGCAGAATAAGCATGTTTATCCTTATCAAGGAGTTCAAAAGATAAACTCTTAAAGGTAGTCCATCTCTTGAATGTCAATTTTTGGATGCAACTAATGAGAGAGGGTCTTTAGGATTAATGAGAACATTTTAACAAACTACTGGCTGCATTCAGAGTACATATGACATTTAAATGTGTGAACTCTGCCGTGTATGTTATGGGAATTCAGGAAATAGAATTTAACCTTTTAATAGTTCAGTTAATCAAGGCTGTGTGTAACAAACGTAGCCACTGTGGAAAACAGGATTATGGATTTGATGAAACTTTGGTCTATTCTTGCAAAGTAGCTCTTATGTTCTGTTCAAAATACTGTATTTTATATATTTTGTGTTCTTGATGCCTCTTTTGCAGTCTTGTTTGTTAATCATAGCATTGCAAAATTGGAAAGTTGGAAGGTCATCTAATAACTAAAGTTCTTGATGAATTCAGATTTATAGAATGCAGAAAGAGCTGCATTCCTGATGGATAGTTGCCTACATTCAATGTAGCTTTTCCATTGCCTTGGGACTTATTTTATTCTTTTATTCTCACTGCTATTGTGATAATCTATCTTCAGAGAAGGGGTGTCCTCCTTACAATTTAATTGTTGCCTGCCAAACTCTGGAATTTGCTTTAGCTCCCAAATCCTCAGTTGACCCACAGATAGCTGGCCTCCCTCAGGACACTGTTGTTGCTTTCTTGGTTCTCTGCCAACTCTTTGGTATTTCCCACCCTGTCACTTTTTTTTAACTTACAAACATTCCTTACATCCCAGGCCAGCCATTTTAAAATAATCCTACTTTTCCTGTTGTGGGTGACTCATTACTTGTAGATACTCCCTGTCCACACCCAAACAATATTTGTTCCATTCTGTTCCACCCTCTGTCTTTTCTACACTCCATAATCTCTGTCGGTAGCCCTGCTCAACAGTCTCATGTTTATATTTTCATGTTGAACTCCTCTTGATTAAAGGTTTATCTCTTTTTCTCTTTTCCTTTTCTAAGCACCTTAAATAACCAGACAGTGGGTTTAAGAAGGGTTGTAATTTGGAACAATTGTTTCTGTATGAATTAGAATGTTTGTATAAAGACTAGGATATTATTTCTATTCTAGGTAACAGAGTTTTGAAGAGGTAGAAGACTGATGATGACTAAATAAAAAATAAAATAACTGGAAAACTAATTAGGTTTTCTTTTACTTCCTTTCTTCAGGCCTACCTTTTTGGAATTGCTTTGGATTGAAACATAGAAGAATGTGCAAAGTTAACTTTCTGACTGTATTGAATGAGGAATAGGTTTCATTTTCCTCTGTTTTAAAAAGGAAATGAAACAGTAGTGGGAGGAGGAAGATAGAACTGGAACCTTAATAAAGAATACTCTGCAAATTTCCCTTTCCTCTATTTAATGATAACTGCCCAAATTCATTTTTCTTAACTCTGTAACTGCAGTCCATATTTGGTTACTGCACACATCAGTGATGACGCTTCAGCTTTGTAATGCCTTAGCTGCATAATACTTTACACATTTCACAAATTTTGGCTAACTTTTTCTAATGAATCATTGTGTTTTGTAATGATGTGATCCTGGGAAATGACAGTTACGAATACAGAATGTGTTTGTGGGGGTGTCAGAGACAGAGAGAGAGTGTGTATGTGTAAATCTTCACATATTTGCCATACCATGTGTTTGCTATCTTAGCAGGGGTGGGGAATTGCATTCTTGTTGGAGAATGGGAGTATAGTAATTTTTTTTTTAAACTTGGCATGGAACTGTTTGGCTATTCTTGCACTGTGTGGTATTTCTCCATTTGTATTCCATATTTCACAATGTAAAGAAGGTAGGGTGTACAATATATCGAGTTTAAATGATGCAGATCAGAACTGGACATCTTTTTTTTTTAACCAGGGGGAGGAACCTTAGCTTTTCTGCCTACCAGCTGGTAAAAATGGCTACCTGATGCATTACTGGAAGAGGTGGGCTGAAGATGTTCAGCCTGATTTTTACCTTGGGGAGGGTTTAAGAGTGGGAATGGAAACATATTGCTTCAGAAAGGCTCAACCAAAGAACAACCGAGGCTCACCTTTTACCCAGTGAAAACCAGGCTACTGCCCTAAATGAGGTATTTTGCTATTGAATTTCAGTGACCTGATCTCGCGTTGCCAGAAAGTCATATGGTACTGTAGATATTTGTACTGCATTTCAGCAGATGATATGAAGAATTAGAATAGCTTTTTTTTGTGGAAAGATGAATAAAATCTTTGTGCTATCATTGGCCTTAAGTCATCTTGGCTCATTGGTTATCTGGTTTCTAAAACTTCCTGCTTATTTAGGAGGGTGAGCTATTTTTGCCTGCCATTCCCAGAGACCATGGAGCCTGCAGTTGTTCATGTGTGAGAGAGGTGCACACACAACTGGTGTGCTTTTTACTTTATTTTGAATATCAGTATAAAGCCTACAGTAATTGCTATCCACTTGGCTGTAATCCTAAGTAAATATACATGGGAGTAAGTGCTATTCAGTTCTGCAGATCTTCTTAGTAGGTATGTAGTACATTAGAATCTCTATTATTATAGAGTACTGGGATCATTTCCACAGAACATATTTTGTTTAAGGTGTGATCATTATAAAACATTGTTTTCTTTCTGTATATTAGTGTTTACTAATGTTTGAAATTTTGATTTTTTTCAAAGCCAGAGGCACATATTTTAAAGAAAAATATAGCAAAAAATACAAGGATAAACTTTTCTAAGCATGAGGTAGAGAAGGGTTGCTCAGTGCAATGTAGTGAAGAAAGTCCAATTAAAAGGATTAGAAAGTAGTTAATAAAAAAAAACTCTTTGTTGTAGGGCTCTTTCTAGTCAGCAAAGACAAAATCCACTAGCTAGGCAAAATATAATCTGGCCTGGTGCACAGAAGCTTTTCCCTTCATCTCCAAAAGATCAGGCTAGTGGTTTCTCTAATCTAGAAGTCTCTTTACTGTGATTAACATTATAGTAGGTTAGTGATATCTAGAGAACTATATTTGTCTATCCATTGCTTCTTAGAAACAAATGAATGCAAGCATTTCAGAATTTTGTTCTCCCTTTATTCACTAAAGATGTGAGCCATAAAATGTTTGCTGTGCTGTGGTGCCTGCTACAAGTCCCCGGGGAATTAATATGCTTCGGTTGCTCCGTGGCAACTATCTGCAATTGGTTTGACTGGGTTTCCCACAAAATAGTTCCTACTGATGAATGGAGTGCATTCAGTTTGTAAGTCTACTCAAGCTCTTGTAGAGGTGGTAGCAATCTATCAAGGACAGAACATTTAGTTTAATAGGATCTCATCTTGAATGTGACAGTTCTGTGGCATCCTTTCTTAGAATCTGTCATATTTCAGAATCTGTTGTTGTTGTAATGTAAAGTAGTCTATTGTGATTGTCCAATCCTGGCTGTCTTTATGATCACCAAATAAATCTATAACATCTTTGCTGAATCAGAGTATCTGGTTTCCAACAATAGGCAATCTAGATATTCTTGAAAAATTCACAAGTCCACAGCCTTCCTAGCTGAAATATCTGTTTAGTGATTTGGCTAATCATTGCCAGGTTAATTAGTCCTCCATATTTATTTTACTTATTTTCTTTATTTCTATCCTGCCTTTATTATTTTTTTTATTGAAAATTTTTTAAAAGTTTTACAAATAAACAACCAACAACCCTCACCCAATCCCTCCCAAACCCACCCCTCCCTCCCCCCTCCTTTATTATTATAAATAACTCAAGGCAGCAAACATACTCCT